TTCTTTCTTCTCAGAGATTTTGACAGATGATGCAGAGTTACTCTCGATTATTGACACAGTAGTTTCTTCTGAAGATAATTCCTGCTTATTGCTGGTCCCTAGCATGGAGGAGGTTAAAAACACAGTTTTTCAGATGAATAGAGATGTTGCTCTGGGTCCAAATGGTTTCTCTGGCCTTTTTTTTGTCTCTTGTTGGGATATCATTACTATGGATGTTTATGATGCCATATGTTTAATTTTCAGGTGAGGAGATCCCAGAGGCTTCACCTATTCCTTGATTCCATTGATTACCAAGACTAATGACCCTATTTCATTTTCTGACTTTCGGCTTATCAATGTTGGAAATTTTATATATAACATTCTTGCAAAAATTGTCACTAACAGGTTAAGACTTTTATTACCTAAACTTATTTCAGAAGAGCAGGGTGCCTTTGTGCAAGGTAGAAACATAATGGATAATATTTCATTAGTACAAGAAATGACCCATGAGACTGATAGGAAAATTTCGGGTGTTGATGTAATTCTAAAACTGGACATGCTAAAGCCTATTATAGGCTTGAATGGTCTTTCCTATACCGGGAACTGAGAAAATTTGGTTTCTCTAATGACTATATCAAACTTGTTGAGAGGATGATCTCTAATTGTTGGTTCTCTATCATAATCGATGGAGTGTCACATGGTTTTTTTAAGTCCTCTCAGGGGCTCAGACAAGGTAACCCTCTTTCCCCTTATTTGTTTTAACAGAGGAGGATTTGAATAGAGAGCTATTTGATGTCTAACAACAATGTTCGCTACTTCCACTTGCCGCAAGGTTGTTGGAGTATTTCACACTCTCTTTATGCAGATGATATTATTATATTTACTACAGGGGAAAACAGTCCTTTGATGTCTAACAATAATGTTCACTACTTCCACTTGCCACAAGGTTGGTGGAGCATTTCACACTCTCTTTATGTGGATGATACTATTATATTTACTACACGAGGAAAACGGTCTTTGACTTGTCTGAGTGTGCCTAGTATTCCTTTGCATCTTCTTTCGGCAGTGGCCACACCCAAAAAAGTCCTCCAAAGAGTTGATAAGATAATCTCTGATTTCCTTTGGGCCGATAGTGAAGGAAACAAGCAACATCATTGGGAGGCTTGGGAAACTATTTGCAAACCTTTCGGTGAAGGTCCCAATGTGTTAAGAGTGTTTGAGGTCGACACAGCCTTACAAGTCAAAGATCTTTGGAACACAGTTCATGGGAGCTCTTTGTGGGCTCGTTTCTTTCATTCAAAATGCCTCCGTAACACCAACTTGACATTGTGCGAGAGCTCTTACTTTATCTCTGGAACTTGGAAAAGGAACCTCAAGTTTTCTGAATTGGTGCTTGAGAACTCTTTATGGTTAATAAGGAAGGATGATGCCTCCTTCTGGCTGGACACTTGGATTGGAGACTATCCTTTTTTTCGCATTCTGACTATAGATTCAGGGTTGTGGGAGGGGTTTGCAATTTCCCCAAGGGGTGAAAAAGTGAACATTCTTCAGTTTGCAGATGATACCTTATGCTTTATTGATGCTTCTCTTGTACAGCTAGAAAATCCACTTGGGATCCTCAGTTGGTTTGAAGTAGTCACAGGTTTGAAAGTCAACCATAATAAAAGCCAAATCATCCCAGTGCGTGAAATCTATAACCTCGAAGATTGTGCTAATGTTTTGGCTAGCCAAGTGGATCAGCTTCCGATGAGGTACCTGGGTCTTCCATTGGGGGCTAAGTGTTCCTCTTCTACCATATGGGATCCAATAATTGAAAGATTGGAAAAGAAATTGTCCTCATGGAAGGCTAAGTATCTCTCCTTTGGTGGTAGAGTGACCCTTCTAAAAAGTACTCTTTCCAACCTTCCTACCTACTTTCTTTCTCTTTTCCATATCCCAAATAAAGTGGCTAGGAAAATAGAGACTCTCCAAAAAAACTTTTTGTAGAGGGATTGGGAGGAAGAAAGGAAAATCCACCTTGTGAATTGGAACCAAATCTGCCTTCCTAAGGAACAAGGTGGTCTAGGTTTGAGAAGAATTAAGGTGACAAATTCAGCACTGCTTTGCAAATGGATCTGGAGATTTGCCGCTGAAAGGAGAGCTTGGTGGAGAAGCCTAATTGCATCTAAATTTGGGGTTGAGTGGGGTAATTGGAGAACTAACCCCCCCCCATCTAAATTTGGGGTTGAGCTTGGTGGAGATTTGCCGCTGGGGTTATTCTTTATGGAAAAGTATCATGACGGTTTTTCCCTTGTTTGATGGGGGAATCAGCCTCAAGGTCGGACAAGAGGATAGAATCAAATTTTGGAAAGATCATTGGTGTCTGAATCATTCCTTGGCTGTTGAATTCCCTCTTATCTTCCAATGTGCCTCCAACCAAAATGACTCGGTTCCTGAAACTTACATTGTTTTGGGCAATGAAGTGATTTGGGCTCCCCAGTTCAGAAGAGGTATTTTTGACTGGAAATTTCAAGAAGCTTCAAATCTGTTGGAGACTCTACATGCTCAAATCATTGACTACAATCAGGATGATCAGTGGAGTTGGGTCTAGTCCAAAGAAGGTGTTTTCTCAGTTAAATCAATGGCTAGTAGACTCAGTAGTAGAGTGGCAGTGGGGGACTTCCCTGCTAAACAGATTTGGAACTCAGTCTGCCCTTCTAAAGTTAACTTTCTAGTCTGGACAATGGCATTAGAAAAATGTCTGTCCATAACCAATCTTGAGAGAAGAGGATTGCAGATCCTAGATAAGTCCTGTGTTTTTTGTGATGATCACCCGAAATCAACGATCATATTTGCATTCATTGCCCGTTTGCTGCTCAGGTGTGGTACTATTTCTTGAAGGCGGTGAGGATTTTTTGGGTCATGCCTAAATCGATTAAGGAATTACTATGTTGCTGGAAGATCAGTAAATTGAAGAAAAGAGGGAAATTGGTTTTAATCACTATCCCGGCAGCTATGATTTGGGCCATTTGGTCTGAGAGAAACAACAGAACCTTTAATCAAAGAGTGAGAGGACCCAAGGCTATAGTTCAACTGGCTGTTGGTAAACTGCTTTCTTGGATTTCAGTCACCCCTGAATTCAGACACACAAATGTAACTCATTTATTGAGAAATCAGTCTATTTGGTGCTGGTAATAGGGGTCCCCCAGGCCTGTCTGTTTGTTGGCAGGTTCTGTTTTGTACTTTTATGAGTTTGTTCTAATAAATTTATCTTACCTTGTCGAAAAAAAAAAGTGGTGACGGTAGATTATTCAAAAAGCCTGGTTTGAAGTTGAAAATTCAGCAGCTGTGAAAGATAGAATAATTAAGGATTGGAACTTGGAAGCCCCCTCAATATAATAGATTAAAACGAAACTGATGGAAGCTCAATAGGAAATACAGGGTTGTCAAGAATCAAAGAAGTATTCAGAGAAGCTACATGGAAAGTGGTGACTGTGTATTCAGGGCTGATTGATGTAGGGGACTCTGCGAGAGCAGAATAATTAGCCTTTCATCAGGGTTTGAAGCTAGCAAAACAACATGATTTTAAGAATCCGGAGATGGAGATTAAGGGTGGCTGAGAACTGGTAATCTCTTGGATGAATGACAACAGCCCTGGTGTTTGGATATTCAGACATCTAATAAGATAAATCAAGATTATGACGAAAGACTTCAAAGCAAACTTCAAATGAGTAAAGAGAACATAAAAAAAACAATTAAACAGGTATTATTAAACTAAAACATTCAATCTGCGGGGCTTATATACTATTTTCTTTTTACTATTTTCTTATTTGTTAGGTTCAATCAACACACATGTTGGTCTATGCTTTCTTCACCCTCAAAGATTTCAAAACCTAAACCAATAAGGAAGAACTTAAATTCTGTCCAATCAATGCATTCTTCTTGTTTTTCTTTCTTCTTTTTTTCTCATAAATATGTTGAATTTCTATGTTTTAATATGAAGCTTATACTTTTTTATGAAGTTTATAGATAATTATATATGAAAGTTGGAGATGGTTTCTGGTTGCTATGGAACCTAGGAAATTACCCTAGGGCTCATGGTTTCTAAGTAAAAGATTTCATCACCTAGGTAAATAGGCAAAAGGCGCCCCACTATTGCCCAGCTTCACCTTGGTGCCTTAAAACTATGGCCCTAATTGGATGTTTATAGTTGCACTATGTCGGTGCATTTGAAGATAAATAACAGGAAAAAAAAAAAAAAAGAAAAAACTCTTAGGCAGGATATGTTTCAACTTTCAACTGGTGTCATTGCAAAGGCATCACATTGTTCAGTAGCAACTTTCTTCAAACAAATGGATCATTTTCTCAACCTTATTACCACGTAAACATTGCAAAGACATTGATATGGCAACAACACTTGAACAAGCAATCGCTGGCTGAAAGGGGGTGCTAAAGCAACTACGTCATGGATTTTAAGGCAGTAAATCACCGCAGAAGTTTCACCAGAAAAGGTGAAGGTACAACATACCCACTTAGTGACTACCGACTCTTATTAGAAGATAAGAAAATAAAACTCTCATCTTTGATATTCAATTATCCAGAACGACAGAAGCTAAACACGAAGCTCACGAAATCTGTACCAAGAGCACGGACCAGCAAATCCATGGCCCCAACCCCCAAAGTCTCGAACTGCGTTGTTAAAACTGCTCCATAAATGGGTGTCGTTAAACTAAATGCGTCAAAGCAGCTAAAATTCCCAGCTAGAAAAGCGAAAAAAACGTCGAAACTAGCGATAACATTCTCAAACCCAAATAAAAATAAACACCAAACCAACGAAAAATCCACCAAGAAAAAAAACTGGGACGAAGAACCAAAAGGCTTGGATCCATCAACACAAACTATCATCAAAACCAATAGATCTAACGCCTCGGAAATAGAGCTTGCCTCGATAATCAATTTGGTAGAGATAAAAGCCAGAACAGATCGAGAGAACAACGAAGACAACAAACAGAGATGACTCGAATGGGTAACAGAACTCGTACCTTTCTCTGCCCTAACTGGAGGTCCCGAAATCCAGCCAATCTGTCCGGTTGAAGGGACAACGAAAGTGTCCGAGGTGGGAAAGCTGCTGAGTCTAACTCAAATTTCTCGTCTCCTTCCCTTTTGTATTGCCCAGTTCTAAAGACCCGAGAGTTCCCTTAAAATTAAAATAAATAAAACAGATAAATGATAAGAAAGACCACATGATCCTACTAACATCCAAACAATGATATCACACAATCACCACCTTCCAATCTCTATACTGTCCTTACAAGATCTTTTGATCAATAGTTGTTTGACTTCATTCTTACATAGGTCCACTTATCGGACGCTCAGATATTGATCACATGTTTCGTTGAGAGCCAATCTATTTTAGCTGTGATGGAAGTGGAAGCGCTCCATACTTTTCTTGCTTTTGAATTTAGTGAGAGGATTCTCATCCGTTTCCGGTTCTTATCCAGGGACCACCAACTTTGTTAGAGTACATACATGCATCACATTGAAGAAATATCGATATGTAATGACCATAAAGCCCACGAATAACACAAGTATAGACCATGTATAGAGTAACCGATGAGAAAGTTTTGGTGTTATTTTTGTCGGGAAAGAAAAAGGTTTTGAAAACCTAAGCGCCACCTATTCACGTCACCGATTCGAGACAATCTCCTTGCAACACAAAACCGTTTCAATACGTTCCAATAATCTCATTGTGATTTGTGAGATGTGCGAGAAGAGAGTTGAGATAGTTTTAGGTGGGGTTTGGAACCAATGCCCCCTTCTTTAGAGGCCTTTTTCTCAAAAAATATATTGTTGTATATGAACATTCTGGTGATGTTGGTTTACGTGGGCTTTATCGAAAAAATGGAGATTGGCTTCTTCTTTCCATCAGGGCAAATTCGTGCCCACACCGTTCCAACTGCCTTGCATTGAGAATATATTTTCATGAAATAAAACATATAAATAGGGAGGTATTCTTAATGCAAGGCATTAAAGGTTGCTCTAACAGGCTTGGCCATAACTGAAGTCAAACTCAAAAAAATGCCATCACTGTATAGGTGTAACATTTATTGCATATAAAATCACTGTTTGGCTTCATCTTTTATTAAATAAATACCAAAAAACTGAAATACTTTGATTTTTGTGTATGAGACATTTAGGGAAATCTCAAATTCTCATTTCCCCCAATGCCCCAATATTTCTTGAAATGAAATGCTTCTGTGGCACGTTTTTATGGGTGTTAATTTAAAGAGGAAAGCAAAAAATAAAATAAAATAATGTCCAACCAAACAACAAAAGCAATAAGCTTTTAAAATAAAGTTGTACAAATAAACGTTTAAAGCAATAAATGGCTCATCTATAAATGCCCACGAAACCAAACATATGCTTTGTTTTCTTATATTTTTATTTGGTACCATTGATCACATAAGCATTTTTCAATGCCATATCATCATATTGCAGTTAACCATATGAAAGAAATGGGAAAACACCAAAAATAATATTTTCTCTAACAACACCTTTCCTGGTTTCCAATGCATGGTCTAAGAAAACATTTTTCAAAAAAAAAAAAACAGTTAACCAAACAATTTAGTGTTGTTTTCTAAGGAAACGACATTGATACCAAACACCTACTTAATTAGGAGGATACCTCAATTCCACTAACCCACAAGTTTGATTGCTTTGATTATCAATTCTCTCTAACCACATGACATTATAGTTATACATCAGGAACATCTCCAACTCACATGAATCAAATAAGGGAGATGCTCTCAATGTGTGGATGTAGTGACATGTGGGTAGGAGATTCCAACACCATTGATTATAGGGTGTTTGACAACATGGTTGATTTTTTTTTGTATTTTTGCTTTTTTTTTAAGCAAAACCAACCATATTGTCGAACAGCCCCTAAACTCTTTAGGTTGTGTTTGGTTTGAAATAAAATGGTAGGAAAGGAAAACCCTACCTTTTTCATTCAAACCAAATACAACTGACGCGACTCGCCCATTCACCACTTTTTTAAGGGCTTGGACCTTTACAAGTAGGACCATGACCATACAAGAAATATGAGAAATCTCATTGAACCCACCTACAAATTTTTACTTCACCTTACACTTAGGGAAGTCACTTAGGTTATTATGTGTTGAGCCTACTTAGGTTAGTGTGTCCGTGTTACTAAGTAAGAGTCTTACCCATTTATAAAAAATAAGAAATGGATGAATCGTCCAACACCCTGATTTTATATTTCCAATCCTACCCCTCCATGATTTTATATTTCCAATCCTATCCCCTCTTAAAATGCATGAAGAGAACGAGACAAATAGAGTTTGGGGTTTCCAATCCTACCCCTCCATGATTTCATATTTCCAATCATATTCCCCTCTTAAAATGCTTGAAGATAATGGATTCGCCCAACACCCTGATTTTATATTTCCAATCCTACCCCTTCCTTGATTTCATATTTCCAATCCTATCCCCTCTTAAAATGCATAAAGAGAATGAGAGTATGGGACAAGTAGAGTTTGGGGGTTTCCAATCCTACCCCTCCCTAATTTTATATTTCCAATCATATCCCCTCTTAAAATGCTTGAAGAGAATGGGACAAGTAGAGTTTTGGCGAACACCCTAGACTACAAATGTTTGGTTCATTTCTAGAACATGTCCAGTCCAACCAGATTAGTAAATGAGAAAATTAATAAATTACTAAAGCATTAATTAATAAATAAGTATATTACAATAATCTATAATTAATATATTAATTAGCGAGGCAATAAATAATAAATTAGAACAATTAAAGCATTACTATTATTAATAAATTTATTATTTATAATTATTAATCAGTAGCATTCATTTAAATTTACATCAATAATAATAGTAATTTCTGAAAATAAATACAAATAATTAGTTTATTAATAAATTACTATTAATATTTATCAATAAATCATTCCCAATAATTTCTAAAAATTTTAGTAATAGATTGTTGGTAAAAGATATTGAAATAATTACATTTCTAAAAATTATAATTATGATTTCAGATAATTATAAATTAATGATTAATTTCATTCGAAATTTAAAGATAGTTTGATGTAGTTTTTGGAAATTATGGATAATTTATTGATTATTCGATAGATTGCTGAAATTATTGATTATTAAACCAATAAATAATTATTGAAAATTAATAATTGATTATTCAGAAAAATAGTGTAATTCTCATTATATTGTATTTTCACATAAATGCCCCTCCTTACAAAGTAGTGTAATGAAACGCATAAATTGCTTGAGCCCGGGTTCAAACCAGGGACCTCTAATGTGTGAGACTGGCATGATAACCAACTACACCACCCAAACTTGGTTGATAAGATTATAAGGTATTGATATTTGTAGTATGAAAGCTGTAATTACTAAAATACCTCTAAACCATCAATAAAATGTCTAAAATGCCACATAATTTGCATTTTCATAGAATTGCCACTTCTTACACTAGTAAGCGTGCACGTGCTTTGCACATGATAATTCTAGATGATGATAATAATAGTAATAATGTATTCAAAAAGTTTTATAAATATGTATTTTTATTTATTTGTTTTTATATGCTTTTTGCTTTTTATTATTAATCAGATGTAGATTGCAAAATCCAAATCTGATTACGATATGTCACCTTTACTTTGTGTTTGATATTATAATTAATTAATATCATGCATGTGCCTGAATGATTTTTTTGCAACATTTTTGTATTTTATATTTCATTAATTTTTATTATTTATTTATGACATTAAATGTTAATACATTTGACCTAAAAGTTGAATTATTTATCTTTGTTAAATAGTAAAATAATTTCATTTTTAGTCAGTTTTAAAGTATGTATTTTATTTTCATTATCAATAAAAAATATTTTTATTACACTTATTTTTTTAATTTGATTAATAAAAGTATCATAAATGTGTCTACTTTTTTTTCTACATTTTTGTAATTCTCTATATCTATTTCTATTTTAAAAATTTTATTACCTAACTATGGCTTCATAGGTTCATCAATTCAATTTAAATGGTTTAATTGCTTAGCCTTCACTTGGATAAAAAAAATGTTTTTGTTTGTTAGCCAGTTTTAAAATATATGAGTTTATATTGTTACAAATATTGGCATAGATTTAATTAGTACATTTGTTGGTGAAAAATAAATTAAATATATGATTTAATAAGAGAAAATGGGAATTAATACCTTAGTATAAGACTTAATGAGAGGGGATTAAATAAGGTGGAAAGTAATAATTGAAATTACATTTTCAATCCTTACAATTATAAATTGATTAATTACATAGATACGACTATTATAGTAGCCATTAAAGCTACAATAAAATGCCTTTTATACCCATTCTCAAACAAATAAATATATGGTAATTTTAGTCCAAAAAAAGTTTCACACTACATTTATACTTTTATATATAACCAATAAGTGTGCACGTGGTAATTCTAGATAATGATAATGATAGTAATAATGTATCCAAATTTTTCTATAAACTTTATATATTTTTTATTTTTTATTATTAATTGGATGCAGATTGTAAATCCAAATATGATTACATAAACACCTCATCCAAATACGTGATAATTGGATCAAGTTGTGAACATTCAAGTATCATTGATAGGCCTACTTACTTGACTAGATTATTCTTTTAGTGATATTTAATATTTTTGGTGTATCATTTTTTTGTTAGTTTATCAAAAAAATGTAAAATTTAAAATACAGGGAATTGAATGGGGTTAAAAGTAGTAATTCAATTTACAATTTATACCTCATAAGTTAAATAGGGATCAGATTCAAAAATAAGTATTTTAGTAAAAAGAAATTTCTACAATATTATTCATATTTTTAATAGTAGTGTAAATATAGAATTATAGATGTGTTTAAATTTTCTATAACTCTTTTTGTATTTTTGTGTGTAAAAATAATTCTAATATGTCACATTTACTTTTTGTTTACCATTATAAATATATGATATTATACCCGTGCCTAAATATATATTTTCTTTTGTAAAGTTTATGTATCTTTTTCATTTTTGTATTTTTATATTTTATTAACTTTTATTATTTATTTATGACATTAAAGATTAACATGTTTTGACCCAAAATTTGAAATATTTAT